GGTAAAATAATCCATGTGACATCAGGGGTTCAACCGTAATTATACGAAGCTACGAGAATACTTTTTGTGTGCAAAAGAAAAAAAAATAACGACTTTATTCAACAATTCGTTTCCTCCGCGTCACCCTAGCACTATTTTGGTGAGTATCCACTGAACGCAAACAGCGTATGTTGTTCTGTGTCAGCTGCACCACGCGGATACGTTTTCTACGTTGTTTGTGCTTTGATTTGAACGTAAAATGGCGTATCCGCATGGCGCAGCTGACAAAAAACAATATACGCTGTTTGCGTTCAGTGGATACTCTCCAAAATAGTGCTAGTGTGACGCGGAGGAGACGAATTGTTGAATAAAGTCGGTTTTTTTTTTTATTTTGCGCACAAAAAGTATTCTCGTAGCTTCGTATAATTACGGTTGAACCCCTGATGTCACATGGATTATTTTACCGATCTCCTTGCTACGTTTCTGGACCTTGATCGTGTAAGGACCCTTGTTGTCTATGAGAGGGTCAGAGAGCTCTCAGCATGCATCAAAATATCTTAATTTGTGTTCTGAAGATGAACGAAGGTCTTACGGGTTTAGAACAACATGAGGGAGAGTAATTAATGACAGAATTTTCATTTTTGGGTGAATTATCCCTTTAATATATTTTTGCATTTTTGTTCAGGTTTCTTTTTGGAAAATGCTTTTCAAAAAGTATTGATTTATGTTTTAAAATGGCCTTTTAATTATTTCCTTTTTGGTCATGTTTCTTTTTAGACGAGGCTGAAATTTTTTTTTTTTTTTTAAGTAAAATAGTATTGATGATGTTAAAATACCTTCACTTTTTTCAATGGAACATGCAGAGACAGCTGTGAGTGAGCCACTTGTAGCTTAATTTCCCCCCAAAATGTAAACTTTCCAGCAACTTTGAGGCAAATTATTAAAACAAATCTGTTTGAGCATCCCAGCCAAAACAAAACAGCAGCATTGGTTTGCAGCGGGATCATCTGTTTGTCTAACCTATGTAAAATGAAATATTGCAATTTCTGTTTTGGTGATGCTAAAACCCTACATTCAGGCGGTTTCTAAGTAAAATTTAAGATACTTCCCTTGCCAGAAAATGTAGGAAAAGTTCAGTCTTTGCTATTCAGAGGCAGATGAAATGCAGACGCGTTGCATAAATTTGCACTAAACTGATAGAACTAATTATACAGTTATTAAACTACAGTTTTTTGTCCACATAAATATTTGAAAATTTACATTTAAACAAATATTTAAAATATAAATGTAAAAAATATTGTAATTTTTTAGGTTTCTTTTTGTAAGAGGTTGAAAAATATTTTACATTTTTACTTACTTTAATACTTAATAATTAATTTGTAATTAATACTGATTTTCAAACATTTTTGTTGATGTTACAATTCTCATCTTCCAACCAAATATGCAAAGAGATCTTGGAGATCTTACATGTAGCTTCATTTTCCAAAAGAAGAGCAAAATGTCTATTCCTATTCTATCTATAGCACACCTGTACATACAATTTATTCTTTTTTTGTGGTTTATATTTATGCATGTGTATTTTATTCACAAAAAAAAAAAGAGAGAAATTAGGTTTAGAGAAGGCTCCCTCACCAGCTTTGCTTCATGAAACAAGAGCAGTCAATATATCCAATACAAAACTAATGAGTAGCGGTTACAGCCGCAGACATCTTCAAGAAAAACTGCTCTCAAGTTTACACCCACAATCACATAAAAACTAATTACACTAATGACATCCAACATCATCCAAATGCTGATTTACGCTGACAGCTAGTGTTCAGAAAGGTCCTGGTCTTGTCTATATCTAAATGATGTGGAAAGAGATGCATGGAAAGGTGAAAGTCAAAGTCAGAACGGGGATAAATCCACCAGAACGGTAACTTCCAGGTACTTAATACTTTAGCTCTGATATTAAAACGTTCATCCTTTCACATGCCATAAGAGTGAACAGATATAAAACAAGTTCTTGAGGAACATTTTTACATGACAATTTTGTGCTGAAAAAAACAATTACAACTAACTTTTTAACAACAGTTAAAACAACTACTTTTGTGTATTGATCAACAGCCTATGGACAGCGTCCATATTAAGACTTTTATAAAGAATATCTCTTTGGATTTGAGACTTTAGTCTTTGCAACTTTACAGATCTTCTTTATGCACCAAGAGCTTGTAACACTCCAAAGAGAAAGGAAAAAATGAAATTGCATCATATGACTCCTTTAAAGTCTAGTTTTAAACATGTCAAGTCTTTATTAATGTAATCTTTGCATTCGTCTTGGTTTCATATAAATTTACACTGAAACATCATCATCATTTCCAAAATGGTTTGTAAATTTCCTTTTCTTTTAAACAAATGTTTTTGAGAGTTGCACTATATACCTTGTAAAAAAATAAAAATAAAAAAATTGGTCACACTTTATTTTAAGGTCTAATTCTCATTAATTATCTATTAACTATGACTTTTGCCTCAATAAACTCCTAATTACTGCTTAGTAAAGTTAAGATTAGGTATTGAATTAGGGATGTAGAATATGGTCGTGCAGAATATGTGCTTTATAAGTATTAATAAACAGCCAATATGCTAAAAATATGCATGCTAATAAGCAACTAGTTAGCGAGAATTGGTCCCAATACTCAAGTGTTATACTATTCTAAAGTTTATTTAATAAATTAAATTTCTTGAAATTAATTGAGGAATTAAAAAGGTGTGTAAAAAGAGTGGTATTCAAGTCATTGCATTTAACATTCTTGATCTATGTTTAATGACACTCAAAAAAAAAAAAAAAAGACTGATAAAATATATACCCTGAACTCTGGAAAAAAGTATAAATGTAAATAAATATAAATGTAAACGAACATTAGATGTGGATCAGTGCAGAACTTTGACCAGCTATATAAGTAAACCTTAACAAGAATGTGTTGACTGTAGAATCCTTCAGATAATTCTAGTACGACATGATTTATGTTCATACATTTTATTTCAAAATCGAGGACAGGACCTGTGAGGTTCGAGAAAATCTCTCTAAATGATCTGGAAGGAGGTATTATTTATAGGTAGATTAAACATGGTGAAGATGCTTGGGCGCATCCGTCCTGTTCGTCGCTCGTGGAAGCGAGGCGGAATGGGCAGAGGAGAAAGAGAGAGAGAGAGAAGAGACTGAATGGGTATATTGAAACTAGACACTGATGTATGTCAATGCCAGCTGCCCCGGAAGCATCCAAACTCATCGCCCGAGAAAGAGAGAGAGAAAAAGAAAGAAATGCAAGTAACTACAGCAATGTCCATGCAATGCAAGGCTTGGGGGGGAAAAGAAGAAGTAAAAATGAGTGAATCAACTATAAAGTCCAATAGAGCACTGCAGCATGGCATTGCTCCACAACCATAACAATGACACAGTTATAAGGAGACCAGATAACCTACACAAAGCCGTAGCACTCTGGAACCTCTAGAGGGCGAAGCAGCAAACTTCTGAAGCAATGCATGCGTTTAGGATGAAGGAGGGAAATGGGTGCCAGGGGTCATGTGGGAGGGGCAACCCTTTTCTGGTGACTGAGAGCAGAAACCCTAAAGACCTCTGAACTCCGGAAGGTTGACGCCCACCGGTTGACAAGCAGAGAAAATGGCACCGTTCGCCCACTTTCAAGCTCCCTTCATGCAAATGGCGGGCAAAACAGCCAATCAGGGAACAAAGAATCCTGCAAGGGTGTTTCACGCCACAAAGATCAGCATTGTGAGCGTGCCTAAGCCAAATGAAACCAATTGAAACCATGCATTGCCTAATCTTGAAAATGGCCATGCAGATTCGAAGGCCTTGAAGCACTTATTAGAGCAGTGGTCGCCAACCCGTCGATCGCTGTCCCAGTAGATCCCGAAAACAGTAAAATAAACACAAAAATGCATTACATTTCTGGGGTTTTATTAATGTATCACTGAAGGGAACTGTCTTGAGAAAAGTTTCGATGGCAATGGCATTTTCTTCTCTTCCGTATAAAACCTCCCTCAAATTTGAAGTACAATCCGGGATGTCTTTTTCTATCAATTCTTCAATAGGTAGATCTTGTCTTTCATAAAGGCCGAGGTCAGGGATCTTGGGCCTAAAAAGGTTGGTGACCACTGTATTAGAGTATGTACTTTCTTTTTTTATTGGCTTCCAAGATTATGCACAAATCAGGAGAAGTGCAACATGGCTTGACTTGAGTTTGAAGCAAATTAAGAGCAGGAAAGCACCAAAAGGTATAACAAAAGGCAAAGGCCACACAAACACGATGGGAGAGACCACCAATCTGTTCGCTCTCCCACTGATCAATCACCTCGCTCCCAAACCCATCCCCCAATCTGACGCCTCCACATCCCACCCCCTCTACTACAAAAACATGCCTCTTGTTTGGCACCTTTAAACCCGTTTAAACCCATCATGTCACGTCCCACCAAGTCTCTGACCACTTTGATTGGTCGAAGCCGTGTAAATCACGTCCAGATGAAAGAGGTGACCTTTTGGTCTCTTTTTCCATTGATTAGAGACGAAAACATGCTTCAACTTTGCGTTACTCAATTTACCTGTTGTGCAGCAGGCCCTACGTCCAGCCGTGGAGCAGTGGATGATGGGACACCAACCACAGAACCAAATCTGTTAACATGCTCACATTCCCCAGAAAGAGTTGCATGGGATTTCTCTGTATTTTATGGTGTGGCAAATAAAATCTATGTTTAGATTTGGCCTTAGTTAAAACGGGAATCTCAAGACACGCTGAAACATAGAAAGTTCAATCACACAGCACTAAAAAGACAATAAAAATGCTAATAAAAAGGCCAAATAACAAGAACAGAAAAGAGTGAAAGAAAAAAGAAGAAGAGAGAGATTCACCCCCAATAAGGGTCAAAGGTGAGGACTCTATAGGTCAGCGAATAGCATTAGGGGGAGGGTGTGTGTATGTTAGGGTGAGGGTTGGTATGTGGTATTGTCCTACAGGAGCGGTGCGGGTCAGCGGCGCATTATTGAAGTTTACTCCTATCTGGAACTTAATGTGAACGTGAAAAAAAAACAGTTGAGATGACTATTGGTGCTTTTCCACTGCGTGGTACGACTCGGCTCGGCACGGCTCAGTACGGCACGGTTCGGCTCGGCGCGGTTTGCGCTTCTACTGCAGTTCAGTACCGCTTTAGAGTGGGCGGGATTATTCACATGTCGTGTTCACTTGGAACCCCAACCGAGGTGGTACTAAAAAAAGTACCAGGTACCAGGTACTGTACCCAGTGGAAAACCCCCAAAAGTTCACCCGCGCCGAGCCGTACCGTGCCGCACCGTGCAGTGGAAAAGCGCCATAAATGGCCTGAGATAAGATTTATCAGAGGCTATAGCAGGAGTTTGCAATGTGCTTTTAATAATCACAATAATAATAATCATCATAAAATAATCCATAAAGCTCACTCTTTTAGTAAAGAGAATCATACTAGCTTGAGCGTCTAGCTGGCAAAACCCTGCTCCGCACACACAGCATCACATGAGCCAAAAGAAAAAAAAGCATTGAAGGGAAAGAGCTACATGTCTTGACAGTTAAGCACATTCAGTTCCTCCACACACCACACAGACATGCTTAAACACAAACACATTTACTTTGCTATCTTAATGAGGGCATATATCAAACTACCAGTCAAATGTTTGGGGTCAGTAAGAACTTTTTTTTTTTTAAAGAAATTAGTACTTTTATTTAGTAAGGATGCATTAAATCAGTTTCCACTAGGGCTGCACGATAAATCGCATGCGATATTTAACGCGCATCTTGTCAGAAAGCCGGTTCTGTAATCAGCGGTAAATCTCCATCACGTGCGGGCTTTCACATTGAGCAGCATTAACTACACAGAGTCGTTGTTCACTGACGAGCTGCGCAAAAAATCGCACGAATATGAACGTGGTTTTGCGCAGCTCGTCAGTGAACAACGGATCTGTGTAGTTAATGCTGCTCAATGTG